AAAAGAGCTCCAAAATGAACTTCAGGAGAGTTCAACTTCAAAAGATGAAAACTCTTCAGTGCAGCAATTCAAAAATGTAGTTGCTATTGTTGATCCTCCACGTATGGGACTTCATCCCACTGTAAGTATTATTATACTCATGATATACAAGCAATTTTTTAAGTTTCAATTCTTTTAAGCTTTATGATTGCGAGATGTGGTTCATTGTTGACCTCATGGTAGCCTCATTAAAATTCAATCCCTATCAAGTAGCAGTTAATCCAAAGATTCTGAACCTATACTTTGAAAATTCTCTCCAGAACTTCTGTAATATCAATAACAGAGTAGAATCAGTTTACTCAAGTTCAACATTCACCTAATTCTTCTTCCAAGTAGTTGACTTAATTTTAGACATTGTTTTTCTGTGTGCAGTTTATTTGTGTAAAACCTATATGCTTTAAGAAAATTAAAGGTTTCATTTAAATGCAGATCCATCTTGTCTTAGAATCTTGGACGTCATATATGTACTTCTAAACAAAACCTGTTTACCATTTTATTGTTTTCTGAAAATGCAGGTGATCAAAGCATTAAGAACTCATGCACGTCTACGCAGGCTTGTGTAAGTTTCGACTTTGAGCTATTTGTCTTCTTGCTTTGGTTGTTCATGTCCTGTCCCTTCTCTCTTTAACCTGAATCGAACCCTCTTTCTGTTCTCTAGGTATATTTCCTGCAATCCTCAAAGCTTAGTGGCAAATGCCATTGAGCTCTGTACACCATCTCCTGAGAAAGTTGAGAAAGGGAAGAAAGACAACAGGGGCTGGAGGAACATGAGCAGTGCTGGTTTAGCAAGGCACCGAGCCAAGTCTATGCCTATTTCGGAGCCTTTCCAACCTGTAAAAGCCATGGCTGTTGATCTTTTTCCTCATACTCCACACTGTGAAATGGTGATGCTTTTGGAGAGATAGTATGCCCTACTATCGCTAGCGATAATATAACTTTATACCAAGACAAACATGAATATAATTTGGAAGATTAGTGTACGAACAGAAATTTTGAGAGTAGCTTTCCTATCTTGTTAACATTAATTAATTTTCCTTAATTGTTGTATTTATATTTTAAATTCCATAATGAAAATTCCAAGGTCAGGATGAACTTCCCCTCCGCTTTTTCTCTCCTCTTTAAACTTGACCGGCTCAGCCATGATTGGTTATTTCTCCTTTTAGCTATTGAGAGTATTAGAAATGTAGTAGCCATTCATCAATGAAGAACATAAAATTAAACAACAAAGTTTTCTGCATGTCCTATCAATAAGACAATAACTCTTCGTTTCTGGTAAGTCACTATCAGAAATGGATGTAAGATCCACTTTCGTGTCATCTCAAAGAGCTTGAAATAATGGGAAAGTAACACTAAACAGGAGTTAGTGGCACAGACGCCCCAACCTTATTCGTTGAGACTTGCCCTGTCCATTTATTCCCATCTCTTCCCTCCCATCCCACCCAAGGAACATGTTCTTTCCTTTATCATCTTTATGTTGTGGTTCCTTTTTGTATGATGCTATGTTATTGCTCTTGTTTCATGGTTCTTAGTTTTTACCCTAAACAGACAGGAAATAGAGCTCCTCTCTCTGTGGGGCTTTATCCTTCTGTTACATTGGCTTTTACAGTGTGAATCTCATTTGTCATTTCATGCATGTGTCCAATGCAAGCTATGAATCATGTCCTCCTCCTGTTGGGTCTACGAAATGAATGATTATTAAAACTCCTAGTGGGGTTTTCCTTTATTTTCTTTATACTGTTTGGCACTTAGCAGCCATGAAAGCCTTGAAAAGAAAAGGTCTTGTCCACTTTGCCAATTTCTCTTCCTTTTGTGGTCCCTCCATTTCCTACCCCCTTGATTGGGATAATCTTTATTGCAAACATCAATTATTCATATCTACAATTATCTCTTTCTGCACCCGCTCGCTGTTTTTGGAACAGTCTTTCTCCTCACAGCTCTTGACTGCAGTCTTCCACTCGTAACTCTTGAAAAGGCAAGACAACCCACTCTTAAACCATTTCTTTACTATGGTATTTGGATTTTTAAATTAAAGTGTTGGGGTTCATTTATTTTTGATGAAGTTTCCCTTGAATTTTGATTCTTGTACTACCCTTTCAGCAGTGAAACATGTACATGTTAGTTCAAAGGATGACACAGATCAAGTTCCATTAATTCTCTAGGCCAGCAAACATTTATGTAACTGGGTGCTTTCAGAGCTAATTAATCCAATTATAAGCAACTCCATCAAAGTTAGCACGTTGAATTGGACTGATTTGGAAACTAAGCTAAAGATCTGAACTGCATATGACCAAACAATGAATCCAACGTTCGCCTAACCTGTCAACGATGAGATGAAACAGTAGTGACCACATTGAAAGAAAGAAAAGGAGATGTCTTTTTGAATAAAATAAGCGCCACAAAGACAAAGGGTGACAGATTTTGTCTGTTATTCTTATGCTTTTAGGCACAGGAGAAGATAAACTTCTCCCGCCTCTTCAAACTTAGAACCTACCCTTTTGCATCTCTTTTAAAAGCAACAAGACGTGGCCAAGATTCATCTTCGGACCACTTTCAGTAATTAATCTCTAGATTAATCTTAAACCATTCAGATTTTGAGAGTTTCCTGCCAGAATCTTGACAGAAAGACAACCCTTTTCGTCTTTTTCTAACTTGGGTTGAAGAGCATAAAATCTAAAGGCACCAAGACTTCCCAGTGATGCAATTTACATTCAAACATGATTCTTTTATACATATATGTGATAACGATTTCAGGGTACAAATTCAAAATCCTCTTTCTTTTGAAATTTGAGTTGAAGAGAATCAAATCTATAGGAATCAAGACAATATACAACTAGTACCCTTTAGCCATGAACATGTTACACCATCCACAAGTTCTGCTACTTTGTCAACCCTAAGACAGGAACACATTTTCATGGATGAAGATTGGCCCTTTTATCTTTTCTTTTCCTTTTTACTTTTTCGGTATATACAACATTTACAATTATAAATCTTCTATCTTCATTTTATATCTCATTTCATGTCTACTAAACAAGTTGACAAGTGAGAACAAGGATTAATTTTTTTAAAAAAATAGAAATGAAGTACCATGATTTATGGTTATGGTGGGCTTTGAAAGATATTTCCCAAGTTAATCATCACTGTCATGCAGCCTCACAGCTAGGATTATGATTTCTTGCTACATTTATTGCCTTACCCTTTTCTTCTTCTGGTCCTCTTGATATGAGATGAAATCCAATTACTACCATGTTATAGTATTCTGGAAAGGTGCAAAATTAACCATCTATGTATCTTTAATCTGCAACTCTTGTCTCAGTTCAAATAAAAGCTGCTAAAGAAAAAGAGAAGTATGAAATTAAAGGGGGAATTGTCAACAATGCAGGACCAATGTCACTTTGCTGCTTTTCTAAGGATACCCACCATTCAATCTAAATAAAAGCTAACATCATTCCAATTTAATAATTAAACCCTCAATAAATGTTTGGTGTCAAAAGAATCTCCCTAGAAAAAAAAAAAAAAAACAGGTCTCCCTCTTTGATTTTGTCAATAATTTCAGGTTTTGGGTTCGTTTTATAATAAAAATTTAATTTTATCGTATTTTATATTAAAAATTTTAAAATATATATTTATATTTATTATTAAATTTTAAAATTTAATATGTTCTATTTCATATATGAGGCTTTAAATTGTCTTAAGAATCCATCTAACCAATCAATTATAACCACATTTTACCATTAAATATAAGGCACCATAAGTTCACATCATCCTTTTTATCTTCCCAAATAGAGTAGACCAATAATCTCCTAACATTTGACACCCATCTTTCTCTGTATTTAAATTTTAATTATTCAAATCACTTCATCAATAGAATCTCTTTTTAATCAAGTATTGATACGTGTATGTATTATATTTTATTTTTTAAAAATTAAGTAACGTGATATTTAAGAGAAATAATAAGTTCAAAAAGTTATGACGGTAATAATAACACAAATGATAAAATTTTATTTTTAATAATAAAAGTAATTTTTTTAAAATTATTGTACTTAATTATCTCAAATCGAATTTAACTCGATATTGGGAAAATAATAAAAAATTTTAATAAATTAAGTTAATTATTTAATTTAATACTAGGTCCTTTTTCAGTCCCTTTTCAGAAGTATATATTGTAGTTTAATGGAGTTGAACCCACAGGGCAAAGGGCAAAATATTCAGTCTACTTTTTATAGGTTACTGTCTATCCTTTAAAACATTCCTCATTCAACAAAGTTGAAGATTTATTAAATAAACATTCCTTTGTTTATTTATTGCATATTTCAATTAATTTTATTTTTTATGGATTTAAGGGATAATTAAAGTTAAAATTTATTTTTGTTCTTATTTATTTCAAAAAATAGAAAAAAATGATAAATGAATTTCAGTAAGGAGTAAACTTGATAATGATGAAATGTTTTATAATATAAAGATGAATGCATTAAATTTAAATCTTGTAAAAGGTTTTTTTAAATAAAAAAAATGTGTTGCAATAAGTGAAACGAAATATTAGAACAATGGTGATTTTTTATGATAGAAATGAATGTACATTTATTATTATATAATAAATTGGAGTAAGTTTCTATTTCTAATAAGATGTTTGGTATGGGAAATTCCTGTTATGGCAAAATTCTCAGGAGAAAGTAAGTTTAAGACTCAAGAGGAGATGATAGACCTCGAAAGAAAGCCACTAAGAACACGTAACGTTTTTTTAAGACAATGAGGTTAATGGAAGGTAAGATGGATAGATAGATAGTGAGACAATGAGCTTCCAACATGCAGCAATGGTTGCGGATTTAACAAGTTTTGATCGAGCCAGAAAGAAAAC